AGAGAACACCCCTCTGACACACAGAGAGAACACCCCTCTGACACAGAGAGAACACCCCTCTGTCACAGAGAGAACACCCCTCTGACACACAGAGAGAACACCCCTCTGACACAGAGAGAACACCCCTCTGACACAGAGAGAACACCCCTCTGTCACACAGAGAGAACACCCCTCTGACACACAGAGAGAACACCCCTCTGTCACAGAGAGAGAACACCCTCTGTCACAGAGAGAACACCCCTCTGTCACACAGAGAGAACACCCCTCTGACACACAGAGAGACACACACACCCTCTGACACAGAGAGAACACCCCTCTGACACACAGAGAGAACACCCCTCTGTCACACAGAGAGAACACCCCTCTGACACACAGAGAGAACACCTCTGAGAGCACACAGAGAAACACCCCTCTGACACACAGAGAGAACACCTCTCCCTCTGAACACACACAGAGAACACCCTCTGACACAGAGGAGAACACCCCTCTGACACAGAGAGACACAGAGAGAACCCCTCTGACACAGAGAGAACACCCCTCTGACACACCCCTCTGTCACAGAGAGAACACCCCTCTGTCACACAGAGAGAACACCCCTCTGACACAGAGAGAACACCCCTCTACACAGAGAGAACACCCTCTGACACAGAGAGAACACCCCCTCTGACACAGAGAGAACACCCTCTGACACAGAGAGAACACCCCTCTGACACAGAGAGAACACCCCTCTGTCACACAGAGAGAACACCCCTCTGACACAGAGAGAACACACCCCTCTGACACAGAGAGAACACCCAGAGACCCCTCTGTCACAGAGAGAACACCCCTCTGACACACAGAGAGAACACCCCTCTGTCACAGAGAGACACAGAGAGAACACCCCTCTGACACAGAGAGAACACCCCTCTGACACATTCTGTCACAGAGAGAACACCCTCTGTCACACAGAGAGAACACCCCCTCTGTCACAGAGAGAACACCCCTCTGACACAGAGAGAACACCCCTCTGTCACAGAGAGAACACCCTCTGACACAGAGAGAAACACCCTCTGTCACAGAGAACACCTCTGACACAGAGAGAACACCCCTCTGACACAGAGAGAACACCCCTCTGTCACAGAGAGAACACCCCTCTGTCACAGAGAGAACACCCCTCTGACACAGAGAGAACACTCATATTCCACTGAGTCACTGTGTCCTTTAGTCTGACAGAAGCTGAAATCATGAGCTGTTTTTTGGAACTTAGTTTATGTAAATGAGTCATGTGGTTTTTGCCATGTTTCGCTGAAAAAACTCAAGCGTCTTATCAGCGTGACTGGGGTGGAATATCTTTAAGCGACACCGTAGTTTATTTGTCTTCATGTTGTCCACTGCTAATATTTTTCGACACAGTAAACACATCGGTCTTTCCTCGTTTCCTGCCGTAGTCACAGTGAAACCGAGCGCTACAGACGCTTTACGTACAGTTTGTTTGCTGTAAAAACCCGACACTATAGCAATAATACTCCCTACACACACTCTGACATTGAGAGCGTCACTGTAGTGGATGTGCAATTACACTTTTTTCTAGTATGTAAAAAAAAAAAAAAAGCATGTTTCCTGAAGTCACACATTCCCCACTATTTGAGAAGATCTGGTCTAAACTAATGTACCATACAACACCAAACGAACGCTTTTCCACCTTCAAGCCTCAGAGCGACAAACAACAAAGAACCACTCACAAACTCACACAAACAAATGAACCCAAAGCCTCAAATAATCAAACAAAACGTTCACGCCCACTTCAGAAGAACATTATTTTCTTGAATGTAGAAAGTGTTTAGTCCATTTTTAGTTCAGTGTCACATCATTTTGTAAAAGCAGAATTCTGTCGTCTCTTTGTTTTCCAGCCTCTGCACTTCGCTTCGCCGTATTCGGGAAAAGTTTTGAGGACAAGACGACTTTAGCAAACTTCATCTCAGGACCCAATGACTCCAGAGCAGACCTCAGAGCAGACCTCAGAGCAGACCTCAGAGCAGACCTCAGAGCAGACCTCAGAGCAGACCTCAGAGCAGACCTCAGAGCAGACCTCAGAGCAGACCTCAGAGCAGACCTCAGAGCTCCGACCAACGTTCTCCTCCAGTGTGTACGAGGCACGTGGAACCGCAGGCCCTTCGTCATCTACAAAACCCAAGACAAGGTTTCCCTGGACAAAATAAAACACGAAATCAAGCAGTGCGTTGCCAGTTGTCCCCCGGGTCCAAACGTCCTGCTCCTCCTGGTCGATCCAAACAATTTCACCGAGTTGGACAGTGAAAAACTTCAGTACACCCTGGGCTGTTTCGACAAAGACGCCTTCAGATATTCTCTAGTGGTTTCTACAAAAAAGAGCACGAGTCTGAACATTTACGTGACAAAAATCATAGAGAAGTGCAACAAACGGCACGTTAAAGTCCTGCTGGACGCTGATATGGATCCCACTTATGAAATAAAGGAGCTGATGTTCAGAGCCGAAGATCTCGTGAATCAAAACTACGGAGAACATCTGAGCTTGAAAGGAACGCAGGAGTACGAGCAGATTCCAAAGTTAGAACCAGAGAACGTGCAGAGCAGATACGAGGTGGCGGAGATTCCACCTCTACACGAAGAGATGGACAATCTGTATCTGTCTCCTCCGAGCTCGCTGAGGGACGCGAGGCCGAGGTACACGCTCGCCATCGACCCCAAACTGAAGCAGCGCCTCTTAATGTTTCAGCAGAACAACAGCCTGACAGACGAACAGAAGATCCAGCCCCAGAAAAGAGCGCGGAGTCTGGGAAACATCTGGAACGAACAACAGCACGAGGCAGAAGCAGCACCGGCACCGTCAGCACCGGCCCACGAACACCAGACCGGACCACCTTTGAACGTTGTGCTTTATGGAAGGTTTGACAGCCTAAAAGCATCAGCTGCCAGCGCAGTCTTGGCTCAAAAACATTTGAACTTGTCTCATAAAAACCAAGCACAGGTCTGCGGTCACACGGTGTCTGTCGTGGACTTACAGAGTTTGTGTCGGAAATCTACAGATGAAGCGAAGAAAGAGGTGTATAAGTCCATCTCGGCCTGTCATCCTGAGGGGGTCCACGCCTTCGCTCTGGTTCTGCCGGTTGGGCCCAGCAGCATAGAGGACAAACAGGAGTTAGAGGTTCTCCAGAGCTCCTGTGGACCTCACGCTAACGCTTTAACCATGATTCTGTTCACAGTGGACTCTGAAAAGGACGCTGTCGCCGTCAGTAACTACATCCAGTACAACACAGAGATACAAACCCTGTGCCACAGTTGTGCGGGGAGATATTTTATATTTAACATGAATGACAACACACAAGTCCCAGAGCTGCTCAGGATGGTGGGGAACATGAGCCAGAGAAAAACCTTTTCCAAGGAAGATTTCCCCAAACCTCCTGTGAACACGGTCACACGAAAATCATCTTTGGACAAAGTGAGAAACAGGAGATACTCAACTCCAACTATAAAAATACAACAACTTCTAGCACAGTCACAACATCGAGATCATTATGATTTTCCAAAAGCTCCGCCTCTGAGAGTGGTGATGGTCGGGAAAACCGGCTCTGGGAAAAGCGCCACAGGAAACACCATTTTAGGACGAGACGAGTTTTCATCCAGAGTATCTCAGAATTCTGTGACGCGATCGTGCAGAAAAGCAGAGGGGACGGTGGACGGGCGGTCCATAGAGATCGTGGACACGCCCGGTCTGTTCGACACCACTTTATCAAACGCTCAGGTCCAACAGGAGCTGGTGAACTGCATCAGCCTGTTATCTCCCGGACCACACGCCTTTCTAATGGTGCTGCAGATCGGACGCTTCACCAGAGAGGAGCAGGAACCGTCAGACTCATCAGAGAGTTCTTTGGGAGACAAGCTCTGAACTTCATCCTCGTCATCCTGACAAAAGGAGACGACCTGCGAGACACCAGCATCGACACTTACCTGGAGAGGGGCAGCTTCATCTGGTCGGTGATCAAAGAATGTGGAGGGAGGTTCCACGTCTTCAACAACAATGACCGAGAGAACCGCCAGCAGGTCCGAGAGCTCGTCCACAAAATCGACTCGATGGTGAAGGAAAACGAAGGAGGCTACTACACTTCAGAGATGTTCGAAGAGGCAGAAGACGCGATAAAGAAAGAGACTTACAAAATACTCAAGGAAAAAGCTCCAGAGTTCGAAAGACTGAGAGAAAAACTAGAACTGGAAGTAATAAAGGAACTCAAAGAGGTGCAAAAGTCGTCAAACACAGATACGTCTGAAGAAACTTTCCAAAAACAGCTCCTGGAATCGGAGGAGCGATGCAGGAGGGAGCAGGAGAGGAGGCAGCGGGAGCAGGAGCAGCGGGAGCAGGAGGAGCAGATGAAGAAACTGGAGGACGACATAAAGAGACGACAGTTCAAGATGAAGCGCGAAACTTTACGGAAGCAGATCGCGTCGGATCAGAGTAAAACGGCTCTCCCCGAAATGAGGATGATGACGGCGGCGCTGGAGGAGATGAGGAAGGAGATGGAGACGTGGGAGAGAGAGCGACGCGAGTGGTGGGAACAGCGCTACGAGGAGGACGAGCGCCGGCGATCAGAGGAACGCCAACGACTGAAAGAGTACGAGGAGGAGCGTCGAAATTACGAAAAGGAACGAGAAGTTTTCAACGAGCGACGCAGAGAAGAAGATGAAACTCGGAAGCAACAGGAGGAAAACCTGCTGAAGAAACATCAACAGGAGCTGGACCGGATGAGGCGAGAACACGAGGCCGAAGCCCGGAGACAAGCCGAGAAGAACAACGAGTTCCAGCGGAAGTACGCGATGGACTTCATGGAGGAGCTGCGGAGACGAGACCTGGAGATGGCCGACCTGAAGGAGAACAGCAAGTTGAACCACACGGTGATGCTCCAGTACATCACGCGAGACAAAACGCAGAAGGACAACTACGTGTGGCTGAAGAAGAGGCACGCGGCCGAGATGAAGGAGCTGAGCCGGTCGAGCTTCGGGAAAGATCAGGAGCGGCAGAGGAGGGAGCAGCTGCAGAAGAAGCACGAGGCCGAGGTCCAGGTCTGGATCAGGGACAGGGTGGACAGAGCCGTGGACAACCAGGCCTGCGTCATTCTGTGAACCACGACCAGGACTATTCAGACGATCATCCCAAATACAGACCACGAAAATATGAAAAATCAAGACTCCAAATATTCATCCGATCATCAGAACTACGGTCCATAAAAGTATTGAAAACTTTGACTCAAATTGACACAAAAACTTGAAACTTGAGTCATTTTCCACAGATACTAAAAAGTCCCACTGACAGAACAGAGCAGAACCTGTCCTGAATGTTTTTAGACCTGGTTTAGTCCTGGTTTTAGTTCTGCTTTAGACCTGGTTTTAGTCCTGGTTTAGACCTGATTTCAGTCCTGGTTTAGTCTTGTCTTAGATCTGATTTTAATCTTGGTTTAGTCCTGTTTTAGTCCTGATTTTAGTCCTGGTTCAGTCCTGTTTTAGTCCTGATTTTAGTCCTGGTTTAGTCCTGGATTAGTCCTGGTTTAGTCCTGGTTTAATCCTGGTTTAGACCTGGTTTAGTCCTGGTTTTAGTCCTGGTTTAAACCTGATTTCAGTCCTGGTTTAGTCTTGGCTTAGTCCTGGTTTAGTCCTGGTTTAGTCCTGTTTTAGACCTGATTTTAGACCTGGTTTAGTCCTGGTTTAGTCCTGTTTTAGACCTGATTTTAGACCTGGTTTAGTCCTGGTTTAATCCTGGTTTAGACCTGGTTTAGTCCTGGTTTTAGTCCTGGTTTAGACCTGGTTTAGTCCTGTTTTAGACCTGATTTTAGACCTGGTTTAGTCCTGGTTTAGTCCTGGTTTAGTCTTGTTTTAGACCTGATTTTAGACCTGGTTTAGTCCTGGTTTAGTCCTGGTTTAGTCTTGGCTTAGATCTGATTTTAATCTTGGTTTAGTCCTGGTTTAGTCCTGATTTTGGTCCTGGTTTAGTCCTGGATTAGTCCTGGATTAGTCCTGGTTTAGACCTGGTTTAGTCCTGGTTCAGTCCTGGTTTAGTCCTGGATTAGTCCTGGTTTAGTCCTGGATTAGTCCTGGTTTAGACCTGGTTTAGTCCTGGTTCAGTCCTGGTTTAGACCTGGTTTAGACCTGGTTTAGACCTGGTTTAGTCCTGGATTAGTCCTGGATTAGTCCTGGTTTAGACCTGGTTTAGTCCTGGTTCAGTCCTGGTTAGTCCTGGATTAGTTTAGTCCTGGTTTAGACCTGGTTTAGTCCTTTAGTCCTGGTTTAGTCCTGGTTTAGACCTGGTTTAGTCCTGGTTTAGTCCTGGTTTAGACCTGGTTTAGACCTGGTTTAGTCCTGGTTTAGACCTGGTTTAGACCTGGTTTAGTCCTGGTTTTAGTCCTGGTTTAGATCTGGTTTAGTCCTGGTTTAGACCTGGTTTAGACCTGGTTTAGTCCTGGTTTAGACCTGGTTTAGACCTGGTTTAGTCCTGGTTTAGACCTGGTTTAGACCTGGTTTAGTCCTGGTTTAGACCTGGTTTAATCCTGGTTTAGTCCTGGTTTAATCCTGGTTTAGTCCTGGTTTAGTCCTGTTTTAGACCTAGTTTAGACCTGATTTTAGTACTGGTTTAGTCCTGGTTCAGTCCTGGTTTAGTCTTTAGTAATTGACTAAATGTAAAGTGGAGCCGTTTAAAGTCACACTGTGGAACATTCCAGACAGAACAGTGACGTCTTTATATTTTTTCGTTTGTTGTTGAATAAATATTTGTCTCGTGTCGTTTAAAACAAACGTCTGAAGCTCGTTTCTGTGACGTTTAAGATTCTTTAAAATATAATAAAACGTTTAAACAAAATTAAGTATTATTTTTGATCCTCTGGTCCAACATAAATTTCTCCCAAGATTATTTTATGACATTTAAACTCTTTTATCCAAATGTAGGACTTTTGTATTTATTTATTTTCACATAATCAATCGATCAATCAAACTTTATTTACAGAACTGTTGACAGATAAACACAAGATTGTCCTGAGATTTAAAACAGTTTGAGTTCAGAGTTTACGGCTGATCAGACTTTAAAAAGTCCCACTGACAGAACAGAACCTTTCCTGAATGTTTTTAGACCTGGTTTAGTCCTGGTTTAGTGGTTTAGTCCTGGTTTAGTCCTGGTTTAGTCCTGGTTTAGTCCTGGTTTAGTCCTGATTTAGTCCTGGTTTAGTCCTGGTTTAGTCCTGGTTTAGTCCTGGTTTAGACCTGGTTTTTAATCCTGGTTTAGTCCTGGTTTAGTCCTGGTTTTAGTCCTGATTTAGTCCTGGTTTAGTCCTGGTTTAGTCCTGATTTAGTCCTGATTTAGTCCTGGTTTAGACCTGGTTTTTAATCCTGGTTTAATCCTGGTTTAGTCCTGGGTTTAGACCTGGTTTAGTCCTGGTTTAGTCCTGGATTAGTCCTGGATTAGTCCTGGTTTAGATCTGGTTTTTAATCCTGGTTTAGTCCTGGTTTAGTCCTGGTTTAGACCTGGTTTAGTCCTGGTTTAGTCCTGGTTTAGACCTGGTTTAGTCCTGGTTTAGACCTGGTTTAGTCCTGGTTTAGTCCTGGTTTAGACCTGGTTTAGTCCTGGTTTAGTCCTGGTTTAGACCTGGTTTAGTCCTGGTTTAGTCCTGGTTTAGATCTGGTTTTTAATCCTGATTTAGTCCTGGTTTAGTCCTGGTTTAGACCTGGTTTAGTTCTGGTTTAGTCCTGGTTTAGTCCTGGTTTAGTCCTGATTTAGTCCTGGTTTAGTCCTGGTTTAGACCTGGTTTAGTTCTGGTTTAGTCCTGGTTTAGTCCTGGTTTAGACCTGGTTTAGACCTGGTTTAGTCCTGGTTTAGTCCTGGTTTAGTCCTGGTTTAGACCTGGTTTAGACCTGGTTTAGTCCTGGTTTAGTCCTGGTTTAGACCTGGTTTAGTCCTGGTTTAGTCCTGGTTTAGTCCTGGTTTAGTCCTGGTTTAGACCTGGTTTAGACCTGGTTTAGTCCTGGTTTAGACCTGGTTTAGTCCTGGTTTAGTCCTGGTTTAGACCTGGTTTAGTTCTGGTTTAGTCCTGGTTTAGTCCTGGTTTAGTCCTGGTTTAGACCTGGTTTAGTCCTGGTTTAGTCCTGGTTTTAGTCCTGGTTTAGTCCTGGTTTAGATCCTGGTTTAGTCCTGGTTTAGTCCTGGTTTAGACCTGGTTTAGACCTGGTTTAGTCCTGGTTTAGATCTGGTTTTTAATCCTGGTTTAGTCCTGGTTTAGTCCTGGTTTAGTCCTGGTTTAGACCTGGTTTAGACCTGGTTTAGTCCTGGTTTAGTCCTGGTTTAGACCTGGTTTAGACCTGGTTTAGTCCTGGTTTAGATCTGGTTTTTAATCCTGGTTTAGTCCTGGTTTAGTCCTGGTTTTTAGTCCCGGTTTAGACCTGGTTTAGACCTGGTTTAGTCCTGGTTTAGATCTGGTTTTTAATCCTGGTTTAGTCCTGGTTTAGTCCTTGCTTAGTCCTGGTTTAGACCTGGTTTAGTCCTGGTTTAGTCCTGGTTTAGTCCTGGTTTAGTCCTGGTTTAGTCCTGGTTTAGTCCTGGTTTAGTCCTGGTTTAGTCCTGGTTTAGTCCTGGTTTAGACCTGGTTTAGTCCTGGTTTAGTCCTGGTTTAGACCTGGTTTAGTCCTGGTTTAGTCCTGGTCTAGTCCTGGTTTTTAGTCCTGGTTTAGTCCTGGTTTAGTCCTGGTTTAGTCCTGGTTTAGACCTGGTTTAGTCCTGGTTTAGTCCTGGTCTAGTCCTGGTTTAGACCTGGTTTAGTCCTGGTTTAGTCCTGGTTTAGACCTGGTTTAGTCCTGGTTTAGTCCTGGTCTAGTCCTGGTTTTTAGTCCTGGTTTAGTCCTGGTTTAGTCCTGGTTTAGACCAAACTTAAAACCAGTTTGTGTTTATTATTAAAAGGACAAATTCCTCTCAGATCAAACAGATTTAAAGTATTTTTATCTAGAATTGAACATCTTTGAATTGATCATCAGGTCGAAACATAAACCAGTTTGAAGTTTGTTCGTCTGCAGAACAGTTTAATTAAAATCTGCTTCAACATTTGTGAATTGATCTTTTGGACGTTTGAGTGTTTGGTGTTTTTAACTTGTAAAAATAAAACTCACATAAACATAAGAACCTGAGTTTGTTGTTGTTTTGTTTTTTGTTTTTTATTGTTCCTTTTGTCACAGAATAAATGGATGGTATCGTGCGCTGGTTTCACTCACACGAGGAACCTGAAGCTCGGACTTTCAGTCAGATGTGATGAAGAGACTCAGATCTGAGATGAAGACGATAACAACAACAACAATAATAATAATAATAATAATAATTCTTTTTTCATCAGTCAGTAAATGAAAAATCAAAATGTCTCTGTCACTTTCACAAAAACCTCATCACTCGTGTCTCCCTCACATCCACAGTTTAGTTTCTCTCACCGATTCTGCAGAAATGACAGATTATTTATTTATTTTATTCATTTTTTAAAATCATTTTTAGCTTTTTGCAATTCGACACTTTGTTTTTACTCTTGATTTATTGTCTTTTATTGTTTTCATTTGTCTGTGCAGCTTCATGTTTATAAAATGTGCACAGCAAAAAATGGAGGGTTAAAATTTCAAGATGAAATAACACCAAAAGTGTTAATTTAACTATTTGAAAGTTAAATAGGGGTTGGAGTTGGGGTTATTTCCCAGAGTTGATTTGGTTGAAGTTAATTCAACTTCTCTTAGTGTTAATTTGTCTCCACCTCCACTTCAAACTCCCTCCAGAGAAGAACCAGTTTGAACCAGTTTTGTTCATAATTTCATCTTAAATCAACTCAAATAAAGTGTAAAAATAAAACCCCTCTGTGTGTTGTTGAGTTAAATCAGATTAACTCTACAAAGTGTTATCTGTTTACTCTCTAAACATTAATATAACTCTGGGTTTGGGGTTAAACAGGAACTTTGGTCCAGTTTTACTTCATGAACTTTTACAAAAGTGTTAAATTAACTCTAGAACAGAGTGACTCAAATAAACTCTGAGAAAATGTTAAATTGATTCTGTGAGAGTTGATTTTAACACTCTGTTTTTTACTCTGTGTGCTTCATCTACAACACTGCAGTGTAAATATGACAGATTATAGCAAAAATGATCATTTCCATCTGTACTATATTATTATATTATTACTTAGTAGATTTATTACTACTTTAACAGGTTTTACATTAAAATTCATTCTCTTTGTAAAACACACATGTTCTTGCTGGTAGATTTAATATTATTATTATTTTTATACCTGAACG